ACAGACATACAGACATACATACAAACAGACATTCAGCTTTTTATATAAGATACATTTTCGTTAAGCTTTCTTTCAGTAGAAAAATATTGGATTTGTTTTATTTCGGTATCTCAGCACTTTTTTGCAATTTTTTAATCACAGGCAGTCATGACTGACAGGCTGAATCAGAATATTTATGTTTCTTGACAAAAGGCTGAGCAAAGTTAGGTAAGCTTTCTTTCCTTATAAGCCACACAATGACTTTCTCGAACATACAACATCCTAGGTCAAGCCCTCCTTTTTTTCTGGTAATTACTTTGCTTAACTTTTTTGGATTCATTGTAAAATAGCTTATAAAATCAGTAATATAAACCGGCTTACTAAGGTCATTGCACAATACAAGGTGTGCGTCAAGGGACGTCTCTGTTGTCGTTATAAAATGACTCTCTAACTAATCTTGTGTTCAGTAGGTCCTAAGATTGTCAGAAATCTTTGATCAGTTGGAAAGTCATTCTATAAAAAAATTATCCAAAGTATGACTATCGATCAAAAAGCGCTAAATTTGCAGCCAGTAACCATCTTGGAATATTTCGGTCGGTTTTAGCAACTCCTGTCAAGTTTAGAAGATTCCAAATTTTGGATGAGAGCTCCTAGTGCTGAGATTGTCTCTATGTTTGCATCTCTCTTCCGCCTACTTTTCTCATCTCTTTTTTTGAGGTGTTCATCCCAGGAGTAAGTGGCACGCTGAAAGACGGTGAAGAGCTCACTTTTGATCCAGAAGCATACAAGATCTTCTACTCCTTTGAAACCAGTAAGCGTTTTGCACGCTTTTTGGTCTGGTTACAGTGCAGCTGTTTTTTTCTTTCCAGAATGGTCATGTCTATCATTTGACGTTGTGAAGGATAATCTTGGTGAGCGTTCCGACTTTCCATTGGAATGTTATATCGTGTCAGGAAGTCAAGCAGATAAGCCTAAAAATAATGAGCTGCTTGTTATGGGGCTTAAAAATCTCAATGCTTTGGAGGTTGGTCATCAATCTTGTATGCTACGGTCTCACTAGTGCGAGCTTTGCCCATCTCATAATATTTTCTTCAGGATGACGACGATGAAGATGAAGTTAGTGATGATGAAAGTATCTCTGAAGAGGATGAGGAGAAGAAAAACGCTTTCATACATTCCGTGACTATCTCACATTATGGTGGTATTAATCGGGTTAAGGTTAGTGATAATTTTTGTCTTGTTGCAGTTTGGACGCGTTTATTTTAGACAATTACAAAAACGTCGCTCATGCAAATTTCAGGTTCAACGCCTTGGGGATGGTACCGTATGCGCAGTTTGGAATGACTTGGGTAAAGTTCAGTTGTGGAACATAACGAATGCTTTGAGTGAATGCGAGAAAATGACTTCCACAGGCAAGAACGAAAAACAAATTTTGGTAGGTTGAAGTTTTTACAGAGTTTCTTCCGTTTCGGGAAGTATATCGAAAACGGTAGTTTTTTGCCTCTTTACATTTTCTATTGTGGGTGATTGGTTGAGCAGTATCATACGGTGATCAGAACAAACATTTTAGGAAAAACCACTCTTCTCCTACAGCACGCGGAAAGAAGGGTACGCTTTAGGCTGGTCGAAGTTGAAGCTGGTATGTGTGAGACGCAAGAGTTTTCTCTTTTTTTTT